CTCAGCCTCCCAAAGGCGCGGGATTACAGGCTGAGCCACCGAGCCCGGCTGATTTTGCTTAATTCTTGAGAGCCCTAGGATTTTTAGAATGGTAAATGAGCATTTGCTTCAACTTAAAGTCACTGTATTAGGCCGTGTACTGTGGCTCATGCCTATAATCCCAGAACTTTGGGAGGCCGAGGTAAGAGAATCGCCTGAGCCCAGGGGTTTGAGACCAGCCTGGGCAACTTGGTGAGACCCCATCTCTACAATAAATCAAAAATTTAGCCGGCCATGGTGGCATGTGCCTGTAGTTCCAGCTACTTGGAAGGCTGAGGCGGAAGGATCGCCTGAGCCCAGCAGGTCGAGGCTGTGGTGGCTGGGAGCATGCCACTGCCCTCCAACCTGGATGTCAGAGTGAGATTCCTGCTCAAAAAATAAAACAAAATAAAATAATAAAATAAAGTCACTGTGTTAGTCCCTAACAAGAGTCAGCCTGTTCTTTAAAGATTTAAACCCAGACATTGACTTCTCTTTCCTAGATGGCATCTTCTTTCAATAGAAATCTGTTTTATCTACATTAAAAATCTATTGTTTAGTGTAGCCACCTTCATCAATGATCTTAGCTAGATATTCTGGATAACTTGCTGCAGCTTCTCCATCAGCACTTGCTGCTTCACCTTGCAGTTTTATGTCATGGACCAACCTCATGAACTAACCTCTGCTAGCTCCCAATTTTTCTTCTGCAACTTCCTCACAGTTCTTAGCCTTCAAAAAGTTGACGAGAGTTAGGAACTTGCTCTAGATCAGCCTTTGGCTTAAGGAAATGTTGTGACTGGTTTGATCTCTTATCCAGACAATGAAAACTTTCTCTGTATCAGCAATGAGACTCTTTTACTTCTTATCATTTGTGTGTTTGCTGGAGTAACACTTTTAATTTCCTTCACGAACTTTTCCTTTGCATTCACAATTTGACTGTTTGGCATAAGAGGCCTAGCTTTTGGCCTATCTTGGTTTCCTTTTTTTTTTTTTTTTTTAAGTCTCACTCTGTCGCCCAGGCTGGAGTGTCGTGGCACCCTCACAGCCACCCCAGCATCAACCTGCTGGGCTCTGGCGATCCTTCAACCTCAGCCTTGCAAGTAGCTGGAATTACAGGTGCGCACTACCATAGCTAATATATTTATTTATTGTAGAGATGAGTGGAAATCCTGCCCTCCCCAAGTTGCCCAGGCTGTTCTCGAACCCATGGGATCAGATAATCCCCTCACCTCAGCCTCCCAAAGTGCTGGGATTACAGGCTTGAGCCACCACGCCCACCCTATCTTGGTTTCCAACATGTTTCCCTCACTAAGCTTAATCATTTCTTGTTTTTTATTTAGAGACATGCAACTCTTCATTTCACTTGAACACTTAGAGGCCATTAAAATGTTATTAATTAACTTAATGTCCATATGGTTGTGTCTTAGGGAATAGGGAGGCTGGAAGAGAAGGAGAGAGAGGGGAGAATGGCAGATCAGTGAGCAAAGAACAGACCTTTATTCAGTTCTCCATTTTATATGGATGTTGTTCATGATCTCCCAAAACAATGACAATAGTAACATTAAAGATCACTGATCACAGATCATCATAATGGATTTAATGAAAATGAAAAAGTTTGGAATATTAGAATTCCCACAATGTGACAGAGACATGAAGTGAGCACATGCTGTTGAAAAATGGTGCCAATAGATTTGTTTGACTCCAGTCTGCCACAAACTTTCAATTTGTAAAAAAATGTAGTATCTACAAAGTGCAATAAAGTGAGGTTCAATGAAATGAGATGTGCTTAAAGTTTTTTGCTATTGTTGTTTTTGAGACAGGGTCTCACTCTATTGCCCAGGCTAGAATGCAGTGGTAGGTTATAACTCACTGTAACCTCAAATGCCTGGGCTCAAGCGATCCTCCTGCCTCAGCCCCCTGAGTAACTGGGACTATAGCTGTGCACTGTGACAACCTGTTAACTTAAACACAATTTTTTTTGTAGAGGCAGGGTTCTCACTATGTTACCCAGGCAGGTCTCGAACTCCCAACCTCAAGCGATCCTGCCACTTCACCTCCCAAAGTGCTGAGATTACTGGCATTAACCACCACACTTACCCTACAAGAAAGTTTTTTAAAATGGAGACTTAGAGAGTTTGGAACAGTGTTTCTCAAAGAGTGGTCTGTGAACTATTTGCATTGGAGTCTCTGGGCTGCTCATTAAAATGTAGATTCCAGCCAAGCACAGTGGTTCATGCCTGTAATTCCAGCACTTTGGGAGAGACTGAGGAGAGAGAACTGCCTGAGCCCAGGGGTTTGAGACCAGCCTGGGCAACTTGGTGAGACCTTGTCTCTACCATAAGTCAAAAAATTAGCCGGGCATGGTGGCATGCACCTGTAGTTCCAGCTGCTTGGAAGGCTGAGGTGGAAGGATTACCTGAGCCCAGCAGATGTAGGCTGCAGTGGCCATGAGCATGCCACTGTACTCCAGCCTGGGTGACAGAGACTCCTACTCTAAATAAACAAACAAACAAACAAATAATAAAATGCAGATTCCTGGGCACTCTAGACTTGCTGAATAAGAATCTCTATGAGAGGAGTCTACAATCTGCGCTGGGTGATTTTTACATTCAGGTCTAAGTCCCACAGGTGTTGGGAGCCTTTCCCAGGATTATAGAACTAATACGTATCACAGCCCACAATCTAGACCAGGGTCCTTGATATCCAGACCACACTCCTAACACACAGACTCCTGGTCCAAATTAGACCAGGAACCTCCCTCAACACTTTACATTTGAACTACTATCAAATACTAAAATACATTACTTTACTTTAATAACCTTTTTATTGTAAATGCAATGCCCTGTAGAAAATGTAGAAATATATAAAAGCATAAAGAAAACATTTAAGTCCCTGGAGGCAAAGTTAACCAATTGCTAAATTTCAAGCCAAAGTCAGCTGGGGTGGGGGGCATTTGGGAGTGCCCCTGAGAATCTATCACTTTTCTGACTGCTTTCACCACCTACCCCTACATTTCGTCCTGTGCCTACCGTTCCTCTTGGCACTGAGAGCAAAGAAGACGGTTCCAAACTTATTATTACTATTAAGTCTTTGGCTGTGTTTTCTCACTCACAGACATCTTCTTGGCCACACAACTGCACACATATCAAATGCAATTCAGTGATTCTGAGTTCACTCAGAGCTATACAACCACCACCACAACCATGCACCACAAGAGAAGCAGATGCACCCCTGATGTAACTCACAAAGTCTGACATTCATATCCCGATTGTTTTTGAGTCCAGCACACATGCTAACAGCTATTTTCTCTCTGTGCCACACTC